CCCACCCCCCCACGCTGGCCCTCTCTCCCACAGGCCCGGCCTGGGGCCAGCAGCCACCTCACCCGCATCCCCCACACCCTGCAGGCCATGTGCACGTCACCCAGAAAAGAGAAAGGCCTCCTGTCTGACCCCACAGACCGGCTGCACCTCAGAGCTGGGGCTCCCCCAGCCCACGGCCCTGGCCTCCGTGGCCCCACGACCTTCCAAACTAAGTCTCTCCTTACCGAAGTCTGGCTCTGTGCAGGTAATGTGTCACGAGCGAGAATCTCATACACGCCCTATGAATTTTTATTAACAGCTTCATTTTGCATATAGATTTGCGGCAGGGCAAAGTGTTACCTGTAAGGCCCGGGGCAGTGACACTAAGACAAACACATTTTCACAGTAGAAGATCCACGCGTGATCCACTCGCGATCCGTCAGTAGGGACCACGTCGCACGCCGAGGCCACTCGCGCTCCAGCGCGTGACGTGTACTATCCAGTAATCGTGCCCGTTGCTGAAGACGACCATGAGCCACCTGAACTGGCTTTAATTGATCTGACTGTATTTCTGACACGGCCCTGCTCCGCGGGGAGCAATTACAGCCGGGCTGTCATCTCATAAACAAGCCCCGAGGACGTGTCACCCTCTGCGCTCAAAGGTTCCCCTAATTGGGCCTCCCCGCAAAGCTGATTACGCTAACAAGGCATGTCGTAGTGACCTCTGCCCCAACACAGACTCTGGACTCGCGCCCTCCCCCGCCCCAGCCGGGCTGGCTCTGCGCAGACCCCGGGGCTGCCCCCGGCCGCGGCGGGCAGGGGTCCAGCAGGGAGCCAGGACACAGGCCCCAGGCACTGAGGACTCGACCTGCACCGTCTGGCCTGAGTAGCAATCGGTCCACCAGCCTCAAGCAGCTCCCCTGCCGCCAAGCCTCCTGCATCCACGCCACCCTCCATGGGCAGAGGCCTAAGCACAGAGAGCAACTCGCACGTCCCTACTTAAACCATCCAACGTCCCCTGGAGGAGCCCGCGCAGAACTCGCCACTCGGACCCCACCGCCTCCCCCGCCTCGCTTCCGACTCCACAGCCGGCCTTATTTCAGCTTCTCCGAAATACCATGTCCAGGAGCGTCCGCTTCTGCTCAGAGGTAGAGCTGGAGAACATCACCTTCACTCTTAAAGCAAGAAGAAAGCAGGCCAGAGTGGACATGACGCGGGCGGGCACCCTGCCGGGCCCTGGGGCCGGCACCTGCTCAGCGGGGGCAGGCCAGGGTGCGAGCAGGGACGCCCCAGGGGCAGCGGGGAGCCCGCTTCGAGGGTTTCCCCTGCGCCCGACCCGGTGCACGTCGGTGGGGGGAGCCCTGACACCTCCCGTGGGTGCTGGTGGGAGAGGCGGGAGCCTCGGTGGCCAGCGCCCGCCGGGGCTCGGCCCAGGCCGCACCTGCAGGAGGAAGCATGTGCCACCAGCCTGTGAAACACGGGAAAGGACAGCAGCGTGCGTGCGGCCCAGGTGCTGCTGGGCACAGCGACAGGGCTGCCCTCCGGCCAGCGCAGGCGGCACCAGGCAGCGAAGCGCCAGCCAGCGGCCACGCTCGTGGCTCACCGGCGAGAACACAGGTGACACAGGGTGGCCTCGACCCCCAGAGATGGGCCACAGGCAGCCTCCTGGCCAGGGTTAAACTGTCGGGTGGCAGGCCCTGCCTACAGGCCGTGCAGGCTGGCACGTGCCTTCCGGAAAGTTCCAGGGCTCCCGCGGACACATCCACAGCACAAAGGCCCTGAGTGTGCTGTCCTTCATCTTCAACATGGAATCCCCCTGT